TACAGATTTGTCTAAAAAAATATGAATCCCTCAACCTATTGCATTATATAACTGGATTGGATCACAAATCAATGACTGAACCGCAAACAATACAGGATTATTTAAAATGCTGTCTCCATTTGCAACGGCAATACCACGACATGTTTAGACATTTCTTATTGGTGACAGGTTGGTACAGTTGAATTTCATGCTGATTTCATTTTTTCAACAATTTTAATTCTCTACTAACAATAAAACATGATGTGTGCAAGTGTGTGTATTCTTATGTAAGCTTGTATTTGTGTGCACGTGATGTATGCTATATTACGTTACTTGTTGCTCAATCAAAGTGGATGTGAACAACTCATTGAAGAAATAAACTCCTTTTCAAACTTAAACGACGACGTTAATATATAATGTTGTAACGTTTTACATCTCTCGCCAAATATATTAAGAATTATTTTCTAGCAGTTTTAAAATCAGAAAACACTTTAAAATTCAAAATTTTACTAATACTTAGCCGTTTATTTTTAAGTATACGATGGATTTAATTAGGGTGACTAAATGTTAAATAATTTTTGGTTGAAGAATGCAGGATGGCGGCAAAGGATACAATGCTGTTTGTATCTCGCGGCATTGATGTACTTAGTATTGATGAATTCACCAAAGGATTCCTTCCTTCATCAATCGGTCAAACTCACTGTACTCCTTTAGGTGTGCGACCATTTTTTGTTTTATTTCTACTCCATTAAACATTGAATAAAAATTATTTCTTACGCTTACTTAGCTTGCCCATGTCGATATATTCATAAATTGATTTTTCGTATCTTATTAACATCATCTGTAAATGTTTTCTTTTAATTTATTTTATATAATATGTAACGTATAAGAGTACTCGCTTAATAACAATGATTTTGATTTTGAGTATAAAAATATATAATTTTATTTACCTCAGTCATTTCACTGAAGTGTGTACCAGCGACGTACGAAGATGCGACAATGTCCACCGCTGTTGAGACCTTCAACTTGGCGACATAATTTTTTAAACGATTTTTGTAAATAACTTGTAATCATAATCACTATAATGACGTCATGACTGTTTTTACCTTTTCATTTTATACTGAAGATGCATGTATACTTCTGTGTGTGTATATATATATATATATATATATATATATATATATATATATTTATTTATTTATATATTAGGTGGGGACCATATTTTATGTAGTATTGTATGAATTCTACCAAATTGTTGAAATTAGAGATCAACAGTTTTTCATGATGAACTTGAATAATAATTCTATTTTCAATAAATTAAACAATTTCTAGAGAATTCTAGTAAGGAAAATTAAAAAGACAAACTTTAGATTGGTTAATGTCAACAATTCAGTAGAATTCATTTCTCTCTATATATATATATATATATATATATTGTAGAGTCCGAAAGGAGACCATAATTTTCGGTAGATTTTATCAAATATTGCACCAAAAACCAAAAATTCGGTAAATTTTTATCAAATATTGCATATACATATATATTATAACCACCGGATTGATCAAATTGCGCTATATTATATGTTATCCTAATTATTGTTATCTTTGCTATATTTGTAATCTTTGGATTGTAAACCACAGAGGAAGAGGATTGTAAAGAGATATCGAATCTATGCTAGGTTTGATGCGAAGTTGTTATTGTGATTTATGTAGTTACTTGGATTAGTTTTGTGTCTCTATTACTGTTATAAACGTTCAACAGTTTGCGTTTGAAGCCGTTGCGTTCATTTATCGGAAATCTTGAAACTACGGAATAACGTTAACTTGACGATGTTGGAAGCTACGACACTGGCGTTGGAAATATAGAGATCATTGAAGTTATAACACTGGTGCTAGTAGTTACGAGCTTTAAAGTGTTACGAGAAATATTGATGAAAGTCACAGCATGTTCCGCGTTAGTTAGCTTCCTGTTTAATTTTTCTAACGGTAGATGTATTAAATTGATGTCAAGTTTCTTGAGTTCCAAACCAAAATTTTTATTTATTTTAGGCACGATAAAACATTAAAGCATGATAGAACAATAAAGCTTTTTTCGATATTCCTATACCGTCTTCGATGCTCGAATTGGCACGTAGTGTATGTGGCCAAATGCTCATGTATATATATGTGTATATGTTGGTAATAGACCACAATTTTTAAAATATTCTATAAATTCTACCGAATGTTTGGCGTTAATATGTTTGTAGTTCGATTTTTCTCACTAAAGTTTTTTGGTGAACGTTTAGTTTATTAAAATTAAAAAATAAACTTATTTTCTGAATTCATGCTGCAAATAAGTCCATATTTCGATTCCGAATGAATCATCATCTGTAAGGATCTGATGGCTAAGATTGATGAATCTATTTTTCATAATATTGTTCACCAAAAAACTTTAGTGAGAAAAATCGAAAAAACGAACTACAAACATATTAACGCCAAACATTCGGTAGAATTTATAGAATATTGTAAAAATATATATATATACACATACTGTTCTACAACGTAAATTCTTTGTTTAATGCGAATACATACAGGTCATTTAATTAGTTATTAGATCTTCAACTTGTGCCAAACGACACTTACGTGTCATTATGGATGATTCGTCTGTTTTTAAATTTATTAGTGGGAAGGATTCCAATTGCACGTTGTTGAATATTATATTATCTGATGTTTTTGTTCTATGAGTATTGCTTCGGCTAGTCGTTACTTATAATGTTGTTATTGTAAAGTAAGATTTCAAAATTGTTGCCCAAGATTTGCCTAGTAATTTTAGTTTTGTTTTTCTCTTTCATGTTAGTTCTTAGTTTATAGCGCCAGTTTGTACGTGCATCGTGAGTCTTCTCGATAGCTTAGTCGTCGTCATACCAATATTTTCAGAATTATAGTGCCCGCACTCACCAATATCACATTTGAACAAATATATTAGATGGCTATGATCCATTATCGATTCTGGCTTGTTTTTCATCACGACGAAAGATGACGTTTTTCTGTTGGAGTAGTATACTCGTAGTTTAATACTATCTTTTTCGTTTGTTGCTTGAACGTTATTTTTTATGATTCTTTTCATGACTTTTTTATCCCGTTCGAAAGCAATTGACATGCGGTTCCTATACTATATTACTGTTATTTTTGTTGTTATTGTTAGTTGCATTGTTGTTGATTTTTTGTGCTTTGCGTTCTATTATTTTCTGAATCATAGAATTTTTGTATCCATTATCAGTAATTTAGTGATTCTATCGTGTGTTTTCTAGCTATCTACATCGGAAGAGTGCGTATAAGCTCAGTTTACAAAAGCAGAGATTGTGCTCTCTGGATATGTTTGGCAACATTCACTATTTCCATTAATAAAGCAGTGGTTATTGTGTACTAAGATTTTGCTAAGGCTTTCGATAAGGTACCGCATGGACGTTTGGCCTTAAAATTAGAGGCAAGTGGAATCACAAGAAACACACAAGTGGATTTCCAATTTGTTACAAGATAGACGGCAAAAGGTAAGTATTTGATTATCCACTTCATAGTAGTATGTAACGAATATATCATCAACGTATCGGCAGTATATATTAGGTTGCCGACCTACCGTTAGAAAAATTAAACGGGAAGTTAACTAACGCGGAACATGATGTGATCTTCATTGACAATAGCATTTTTGACAGTCTTAATTTAATATATATATATATATATATATATATACATATATATATACATATATAAATAATACGAATAAAGACAAATCGTAAAATAAATGCGTTACGTTGACAAATTTGTCAATTTTTAAGCCTAGTATTAAGGACCTGATTTTTATAGTATATAAAATTATAGTAATGGATAATTTAACGGCTGATTTTCATTAGATTCTGAAAGTAAATTATGCACGAATGAATTTGGAAAAATTTTTGCTTTAAAAAGATCTTATTAACAAATTGTAAGAAATCTTAAAACGAATAATCCAAAAAATATATGTTCAACCAAAACATTGGCAATAAACCAGCATAACAAAAAATAAAATCATGCAAATTGTTTTATTAGTTCTGCATATCATCTTAAATCGTTTAGGCACATTTTAATTACATAACCTACGTAATTCCGTCAATAAAGTGGGTAAATAAACATTAGTATATTCGCAGTTTTTGGACATTCACAGTACAATACAATGCACAAAAATTGACCTTAAATCTATTTCATTATTAGATCATGTTATTTGACAATGAGAATTTAGTGACAGCACAACAAAACGGTTGCAATTGCGCCCAGATGAGATTTTGCAATAGTGGAAAGGTGAATTTGAATGTAGACTCATATGTAGAGTTAACTGTAATGTTGCTACCTATACAAAACATCATATAACTATTCATGATATAAAATTATGCAGCATATCATAACAGGAACAATTAAAAAAATATTGAATAAATTAACACTTTTTTTCGGTATAACAACGTGCCAACATAACCTATATCCAATTCAGGTTATTCTGTCTGAAAGAAGTTAATTCTATAAATTAAAATAAAATAATTACTGACTAATGAATAAAGAAATTATTTACATTTTTCGTTTTGCTAGAGTCAGCTGCAGTTGAAAAAAAACAACAAAATAAATGTGCAATAGAGTTAAGAATCTTTTTAAACACTCATCTACCAGACCATAAATAACAATTGTGTCAAATAATTTTTAGTATAACAAGGAGACATTCGTAATCTGTCAGAAAAGAACATTATGATGACATTATCGGAGAGTAAATTCGTCATCATCATTGTAAGAACACTTCTTGGAACTTTTGAAGTTTTTTGAAGGTTTTTTGCTCCCTGGGGTTTTTAACTGTTGAAGGCAAAATAATACAAATTGATATTGCACATTTAAATTAACATTTCATAAAAAAAACATAACAATGGCTGAAAACACTTTGAAAAACAATCTGATACATAATATAAAGAAATTCATAAATGCCAAGAATTGATTAAATTTTAAATTTCATATACATAGTATGTCAATCAATCTTCGTATAGCGTCCAGAGACCCAGTTCCCCGAGTCTCTGTAATTAAAATAATAATTTTAAAATTTAATTTTATCTCTAAAACAGTAAAATGTTTTTTTAGTTAGATTTTACTTTGTTACATTAGGTACAAAAACAGTCAAAAAAGCTAGAACAAAAATGACACGTTAAAGAAAAAAAAGACCAAAAAATAAGAAAGCCAACACAAACTTTTTTCAAGACCGGAACATGTTCTGCGATCACAAGATTACCCATTCCGTCCTCATCGTCGTCGTCATCAACATCATTATCGTCGCCGAATAAATCAACAGCTGCCAGATCATTGCCATCAAAGAATTGGTTGTTGGTAAACTGATCAGCATTGGCATCGTTTATATTAATCATCTGGTTGCTGCTGTAGAGCTGGTTTCCAGAGTTGATATTGTTGCTCATTTCAATAAATCCCTTGCTACTTTCAATGCTGTTGCCGAGATTGTCATTATTGATGCCATGACTAACGGCGTTACTGGCATTGTTAGCACTAATAAGTTGATTGTTGCTCACTATATACTGATTGTATGTATTGCTATCAATCAAATTGCTGTTGTTGATATTGTTGACCAAGAAATTTGCTATGTCATTGCTATTGAAAACATTGTTATCAAAGGAGTTGTTGTTACTGTTAGCATTTTTGTTGTTGCTGTCATTATCATTATTGTTGAAGATGAAGGAAGATAGTGATGCGACAGTGGCTAACTGATCAATGTACCCGCCATTGTTACATGATGTCAAAGGTACCTGAATTTCAATTAGTTCAGCAGTATCTAATGCAACCATGTATTTTGTTTTTGTTATGATGTAAAATAAAACTTCAACAAATAAATTTGAATATCCAAATCAAGTGAGAAAAATATTTTACAGCGTTTGTCTGTGTTTGATCTGTGGTGGTGGTCATTGTTGTCGTTGAGATTGCTTTTGACTTGTTATACCTGAGGTGAGATATTTTAAATACGTTAAAAGGCGATAAATATCCAAAAGTACTTGAATTTTTATTTGTTCGACAGAAACCTAAAGCTTTTTTTATCAAGAAAACATCAACAAATAAATTGACTTGAAAGCAAAGATAGAGCAACATAAATTTTGTTTTAAATATTTAGTGAAAAGCTTAGTGGTTTCAGTAATATTTGTATCCAATTTTTATTTTTGCTTGAACAAATAAATATCTGAGCCAAAGAATATGAAATGAAATAGATGTCGCTATATTTTCCTTTGTTTAGTTTCAATTGGATAAAGAAGATTTTAAAGAAGTTCTAAAAAAAGTTATTTTTATCTTGTTGATTAGCTGATCTTGAAAAAACTTAAAAAAAATTAAGATTGTATTTAGGGAATCGTTTCATCCCTGACAAAACCCTCGAAGATGAGATAATTCGATGAAAACATTTAGGATATGAAGTTTAAAATTAAAATTTGAATAAGCAGAAAAAACCTATTTTTAGACTTAGCTTTATAGAACTTGGTGACAGCACAGCTAGCCTTTCCACAGGCACACTTCATTTCAACAAGACTGTTCAAAATAAATTTGGCAAAATGATTAATCCTCAATCTTGAAGTAAGGATAATAAATAAAGGTAATAAATAAGAATAACAAGATGTAGCAACGCATATAAACAAATGAAGAGCGTACGAATTTTGGTAGTCAGCTAGGAACGGTAACGTGATCTCTTTGCCTGAAGTTATGTTCTTGGATGCAAAAACGAACAATCGCACTGTATTGCCTTCTATCATGTGAACAACCTTTCAAATTGAATCCGATATGTCTAATATTATCAACAGATAAACACACCAATAATCAAATCCATCAAGTTTGATGATGGTAGCAAGAAGCTTACTTTAGAATTGGGACTGCAGGAAGGTCTGATGTATTTCATTGGATTGTTCCACTGCCTGGCATCCACGCAAATTGTAAGATTCTTGTGCAGTGTGTAATTCAGAACAGAAGTATACAAACTGTCACATTTTAAATTTAATTAAATTTTAATTTAATTTAATTTTAATTTGTTACACAAAAATGTAAAGAAACAATTAAAAATAAAAATGTCATAGCATACGGATCGTATGAGTTGGACTTTTCATACTCCTCCCTGGTCATGATCATCCCACAGAACTCACCTACCACCTGACCAGGTCGTATCGTTTCCATAGACACGACACCCTGATTATTTTGTCATTTTCCAGAGTTTACATGACATAAACTACCGTTTAATGACTATTTAAATACAATGTCAATCGTACTTGGAAAATCTTAAGGCTAAATTATATTTCAAAAATAACAGTATACAAGTATGGCATGATGGATAAATGCAACAATAACAAGTGAATCACTAGCATTTTTACCTTCAAAGTAAATCAAAAATTTGTTCAATAATTGCATAATGTCCCTTGAACATTAAGACTCAGTAGCATTAGCATCAAACCATAATCATTTTCAAAATATTTCAAAATGCAGAACAAAGTTAAATAAACACTTTCCACTTCAATCAAAATAATCTTTACAAAGATTATACTCAATTCCCTCAAACAAAACAATAAATTACATATCCGTTAGCTATTAAAACAAATACAAAAAAAAATGGTACTGGAAACATTAAGAGAAAACACAAAGAAATATAAATTTAATGATTTAATAAATAGGAAGCTAATGAACCTTGGTATTGAGAGCAACATCGGTAGCCCTGTACTTGACTTTGAGCAGCTGCTCTTTAAGTAAAGCTGGGTTCAACCAGCTGGACGATGAAGAAGATGGTGAGGACGTTGAATTTTTAACATTAGACTGATTATCAGCGTCATTGAAATTCTGGTCATTGAATTCATCACTGGCATTGTTGCTTAGTATTGACAAAAGATAGCTGACATTATTAGTGTATGTGTTTAAACGTATGTCCTCAATGCTATGATCAATAGTAATGTTTCTATTATTCATGTTGTCTTTAATGGAAAGACATGCAGTGCTGTCAACAGTTTTGCCACTGGAGTTGAAGCGAGGCCTCTTGTATTGGTAGGACTGTAAGAAATTTTATGAATTACTTTTGGAAACTTAATCAATTTGAAGCAATAATAATCACTTTGGAATAGACGTTCTCATTATGAAAATCAATTTTATCATTAGAAATTGATTTTTTTCTCGCTTTCTTGTTGCTGCAAATACTGGTGAGTTCACTTTCATCATCATCCTCATCCCTCCTTAACTTCCTCTTCCTTCCCCTTCTGCTCACCTCAGGCAGTTGGATGCCTCCATCACTGCTCTCTGATGAAAATTCTGATATATTATATATATATAAAACAGGATTTCATTGTTAATGAATCGATTAAAATAATTATTCAATAAAATTATCAATGATTTTCATCTGAAATCAAAAACAATTGATGCATGAAAACAAAATAATAAAGCAGAATAGAGGTACAAATCAAAGTAGAGAAAAAATGCACACCCATCTCTTCCTTCTTTTTGGTTTGAATTCTGATTGCTCTGCGCTTGTCAACATTTCTTGGCTGGCACAAATCACACAAGTACGTTTCAGGTATGCTGGATCTGTTCAAGCCCATGCATTCCACATGCTGCCAGACACTATACAATTAAATAGTCAATGAAGTTAAAAGTTAAGGTTAAACTCAAACTGATCAACAAAATAATTAAACAAAGTATGAATTTTATGGCCATAAAAACAAAACTAAAGTGTGCTAACACTGAACTTAAAAAAAGTATATTCAAACAACAAATGTACATAAACATGGTTTCCAAAAAAATATATTACAAAGAAAATAAATAAATAAATCAAATAACAAACAAAACAACACACATTTAGATGACATTTTCACCGAAATCGGGGGTTGCCGTTTGGCTACCTATGATGAAACCGAAATACCCCTCGACGCCATCCACATCTGTCACTCACCTCAGTATCACGCAACCCCGCTTTCACCCTGTCCTTCTCCACCTGCTCTCTCCATCCCAATCGCGGACAACCCCTTCCTACCACTTCTTCAACCTCGAACTCCAACGCTCGCCTAATCCCGACCCTTTCATCCCTTCTCAACACATGTCCATACCACCGCAATCTCGATCTCCTTATCAATGTCACAATGTCCTCATTCAGTCCCATCATTGACATCAGGTCTGTACTACTCCTCCTATCCTTCACTTTAACCCCACACATCATACTCACCATAGCTCTTTCAGCCCTCTGCAGTACACTTTCCTCCTCTCTCCTCAACACCCAAGTTTCACCACCATATACCATCGCTGCTCTCACACATGCTTTATATACCCTCCCTTTCATCTTCATTGACCATTTCTTTCCACACAATACCCCACCCAGTTCCATAAATTTCATCCATCCCACACGAACTCTAGCCGTAACTGCGCTCAAACATCCTCCATCCGCATTCAGCTTATCCCCTAAGTAAACAAAGCTTTCCACTCTTTTAATACCACCACTCAACCCCGTCCTTGCATCCGTCCTATTAATCACACCATGAACACATTTCTTACATTTGAACGTGCCTTCCACCTTTTTCAGTGCCCCCCTCACACCACTACATCTCTTATGCACCCATTTCTGACATCCTATACACAATACCGAGTTAGCCTTCATTCTCCTGTCACATACCCCACAGCGGTCTATTTTACTTATCACTCGCTCCCCACCTTCCCCACTCACCATTACCTTCGTCTTACCAATATTAACTTTTAACCCTTTCTTTTCAATAACACTTTTCCATCTGTCAAATTTTAACTGCAATTCTTCCATGCTATTAGCCATCAAGACTAAATCATCTGCATACAAAATCTCAAATAACAACCCCTCCATTATGTTTTCACACACAACATCCATCACAATTGCAAACAGAAACGGTGATAACACTGATCCTTGATGCACTCCTACCTTAACACTAAAAGCGTCCAACATCCCCCTTCCAACCCTCACCTTTGTCTTTGCCCCTTCATACAGCTGCATCACAACTTTAACAAGTCTCTCATTCACTCCTTTCTTCCTCAACGCCCATTCAATGACCTTCCTTGGTACTCGATCAAAAGCCTTTTCTACATCCACAAAACACATGTACAATCTTCATTTCTTCTTTCTATAATTCTCCTGCAACATTCTCACCCTGAACAACGCATCCACCGTTCCCCTACCAGGCATAAACCCACACTGCATTTCATTAACTGTCACCATATTTCTCAACCTCCTCTCAAGCACCCTCTCCACTACCTTCATTCCGTGATCTAGCAATTTCACACCCCTATATGACCCACAATCACTCACATCTCCTTTGCCCTTATACAACGGCACCAACACATCAAAAGCCTTTTCTACATCCACAAAACACATGTACAATCTTCATTTCTTCTTTCTATAATTCTCCTGCAACATTCTCACCCTGAACAACGCATCCACCGTTCCCCTACCAGGCATAAACCCACACTGCATTTCATTAACTGTCACCATATTTCTCAACCTCCTCTCCACTACCTTCATTCCGTGATCTAGCAATTTCACACCCCTATATGACCCACAATCACTCACGTCTCCTTTGCCCTTATACAACGGCACCAACACACTGTGTCGCCAATCCTCAGGTATACCTTCATCATCAAACATACTGTTAGGAATTCTCATCATAACTTCAATTCCTATCACCCCACTCGCTTTTATATGTTCTTGTTATCAAATAACAAACAAACAAACAAATAAAGTATACAGTAGAAACAATAAATTTATGAAAACAAATTAATGAAAAAAATGTATGATACATGAAAATGACAAAACAAACAACTAACGAGCATCTGTCACATGATATCATGAAACCATCATCATGCTGAAAGTCACAAATGCATCTGGTAACACTTCCAGCATACTCATCCTCATCATCCTTTTTAATATTTTTGAGTTTGCTTGTGTGCTTTTCTTTTTTGCTGTGACTCTCCTGAGCAACACTGTTGAAAAATGAATCCCCAGTTACAACAGTTGTGTTGCAGGACACATCCTCAATGTCCACAAATGCAGCCAGGGAATCAGGTGTATAGGTCAAATCCTCATCTACTGACCCTGGCAAACCAGCTGCATAGCAATGATCCTAAAAAAAAAGTAAAAAAAATTTTAATCAAACTATAAAAATAAAAAAAGCTCACATTACATCATGTCAAACAAAAAAATCTACTTGTCAGTATTCAACATTTCATTCACATATCTACCATGAATATGATATACAGAAGTAAAAATAATTTTAGATTGCTTTTGTCTTTGTGTTGTTTTATTCATTTCATAAAATCAAGAAAAAAGACAAAAAAAAGATTAAAAATTACATGGAAACCAAGGAAGGTTTAAATTAAAAAAAGAAAACAAGTCATCTGTCATCTTTAGCAAGTTAACAAAAGCAATGTCATAGCATTTAAATTTAATACATTTACAATATTTCTGTAAACTATAGAAAATTTAATAATATTAAAATTATTTCTCATGTACTTATACTTTCATTAATATACAATATTTCTAAACATATTTTCATATTTCTTTGTAAGAATTTAAAAAAAAGTTGAAGGACCAATTAAAGTTTATAATAAAATTATTTGATCTTTATTAAAACATCTTTCAACAACTGATTTTCAAAATGTAGTTGTAGAGTTTGATAAAAATTCTAGAACTAAAATTAATTAACAATAAAATCCATTTAATTTACATCTATTTATTTACATTACAAATAATTGTTTTGAAAATATCATGACCGACAAAAAATAAAACAAAATTAAAAAGATACAAATTAAATATGTGAAAATAAATTAAGGACTAATACTAACAATGTATGGAACTCTATACTGACTTTTAAAACTAATTTGATTCTCCAGAGTGGAGTCATCTCTTGCAAATTCTTGCCTGTGAATAAAAAGTAAAAATAATTATTTTTTCAAACTAGGTAACGATAATAGCACCTAATACTTAACAGCTATAAAATACCAATACAAATTTTGAACAATTTAAATTTTTAACCATTAATTTTAACATTATATTTACTTATTTAATATAATAATAAAAAAGAAAAGATTAAGAAATATAATCAATTATTAAATTAAATAAATTATTTAACATTAAATATTTAAAAACAAAAGATCTTCATTTTCTTACTAACATGACTTTTACAAAAAATTTGTTGAGAAGTTGAGAACTCTTTAAAATTTATTATCTTATATTAAAAATTAAAAAAAAATCATTTAAATTAAATAAAATTAATATTAAAAGCAATTATTTATTAACAACGAATTTACAAGTTATCTTGAAACAAGCATTTCCAATCTAATCAAATCAAATTGTTTTTAAATATTCAAATTGAAAGTTTAATTACTTTAATTTATATCTTATAGTTTTTTTAAATTTAACTTGCAAATAAAAAAATAAATCAATAAAAAATAAAAGTGAACAACTAAACGTAAACGAGAACAACAAGTCGAAACAAACAAATTTTCTGTTTTATTTGGTCGTCATTTGTGTGAAAAAATAATTAATACAAAAATTTTTCAACGCTAAATATGACTTTAGAACGAAAAAAACTGCTAACATAAACAAAATGGCGATTGTCAGAAAAAATAGATGTAACAGAAGAAAAAAAATCTTAATATTATTCAAATTAAAAAATGTTAAAATGAAAACGAAACTGTTATTCTAAATTATTTTTTAAAAGTATTTTCTTGAAAATATTTGTACTTTTAAAATATTTAATTTTTCTTTTTTTTTAAATTCATTTTTCGTAAAAAAGAATTCTAGACGTAAATATGGTTTATGAACATTTTTTATTTAATTGCCGATAAAAACGATTTTTAAAATGTAAGGCGTCAATTAGAGCACAATGAATGACTTCAAAAGGTCTAATTTTATTAAATTTTTTGATTCGCACAACGATTTGCAAATCGATCGTTTGAAAGATTTGCTCCTTGTAAATTTTGAACTGATTCAGCACCAGGAGGCACTGATTTCTTCCAACAACAACACTATTCAGGCATTACTAAACGAAAATGAATTGGTACGTGTGTCTGTCATTCACTTTTAAATTATTCCATTTCCCGTGATTAACTGATTACTTTTTGTTATGTGGTTATCATTATTTTATTGTAATCTGTACTTTGATAATTATAGTTTTGGTTTAGACTCTAAACTTTAGTTGTAGCTTTAGCTTAGGACACTTAGGTTATGTTTAGTTATGTTATTGTCAAAATTTTTTAACTTTTTGATTTTGATTACAATTTGTTTTTTATCTGATTTCACAAAATAGGAGTAATAATAGCATTTAACCAAAAATTTTTTTTAATTGGCTATCATTGTCTATTGCTATTCTATCTGTATTTATTATTTCAACAACTATTTTTATTCATATTGTAATTTAAAAACCATTATGATTATATTAAATAACAAAATAAATAAGTTAACTGAATTTTTTATAAGCTTAAGCTCAGACTTGAAAGAGTAGAAAGAAAGTTGAAGCTGAACAAAAATGAAAACTCAAAGTAAACATGTTTTATTTTGATTATTTTGCTTTATTTATTTACATTGACATTTTATTTTTGTAACTTAGTGTTTTCAGAAAAAAGTGTAAAGCAGGAAAATCATATATAAAGCCTGCTCGAACATCTAAAAGTAAATTCCATCAGAAATCAATTAATGGAATGCCAAAATTAATTAAGGAGGAGACATCATCATCAATTTACGAAATTAGCATATCGACACCACCCAACATTCAATCAGATTTGATTGCTGATAATTCTAATGACACATTAATACAAACATCTTACAATGACATGACAAATGATGTAGAGAATGACATTCACTTGAATGTCTCCAACTTTATTGCAGGTAAGATAAGGATTGTTCAATATTTTGTTATTTTATTCATTATTTTTATAATTTTTTTCAAGTCCCAAGTTGGAGAATGAGACCAATGCATACACTGTACATTATGGAGGGAACTGAGGTGTGTTTTCATGAATTACTAAATGATTTTGGTATTTACATCATGTTTACGTTCTGCATTCTTTTATTTTATATTATCTTTTTTTTGAAAAATTAGTACTTCTTTATTTAAAAACACCTCAACACCTCCTAACTCAATAATCTAGAATTTAGACGATCATGTGTTCGAAAAGAGACATCAAAAGCCAGAAAATGATGAAAGGAGAAGGAAGAGATGGGATCTGCAGAGGTTGCGTGAATTGGGACTAATCAAGAAGAACAGTCATAAGCAGGACCATGAAATTGCGGACAATGATGATATTAGAGGTAAAATGTCTTGGCTTAGTTATCTCCTCTTTTTTTTAATTATAAAGTTTTTTTTTCCAAATTTTAAAATTATTTCATAAATAATGAAAATGTTTAAATTTTTCTAGCTATAAAATTCCACACTGCTCAAAACTTACATATCAAATTTCCTGTTTGATAGTAATCCTCATTCAAATTATTCATTACAAACTTACATTGGGGGATCTATGTTATATATAGGAGATAATCTGAGAGTTGCTTGTTGAAATTATTACTGATTTAGTGGCTGATTCATATTTTAATGCACAGGCTATAACGTTTACAAATATTCAGTCTAATGTTCATTCTTTAAATTGCATATACTTTCCGTTTTTCTTTTCACTTTGTGATGCATTGATCACAAGGATTTTTCATATATGTTTGTTTGATATGCAGCTCTAAATGTTTAAGTATTTAATTAACACTCTATAACTTTTAGTTAACATGTAGATATAGTGAGGTTTTTAAAAAACTGTTAAAATTTGCCAAAGATATTGATGCACTGTAATGGCATGTTTGTGGTTGTATTTAGACAATGGGTGGGGGAAATTGTGTAATGGTTAAGGTGCCTGGCACTGATGATGTACTGACCAGGTTCAAAGATAAAGGGTTTTCATGTCAAATTGTGCAAAAAGCTTTCTGCATCTTTCTTGTTATTTTCAATATGAATTTAAAACATCAATTAGTTCACTATACAGACAAATTAAATGAATATTGTAAAAATGTTACTCGTTACCTCAAAAAGATATTGTACAAAATGAACAACACAAGCAATGCTGTGAAATTCATTAATAAGGTATTACTCCTCTTTCTCTCTCTCTCTCTCTCTCTATATATATATATATCTATATATATATATATATATATATATATATATATATATATATATATATGTGAGCGTTAAGTATTCACTTTGAACAGACAAGGAATCAACAAAGTAAAGTAGAGACACGGTACATAATATAATTGAGCATCTGGCTACATTCACAACGTATCAATTTGAACACCGAAAATGGTATAGGAATACCGAATACCGACAAAAGCTTTTTTGTTCTATCATGCATAAAATAAACAAAAATTTAGGTTTTGAACTGAAGAAATTTGAGAAGGATTTACAATCTAACGTTGGAAAAATCGAAAAGTTAAGCAGGAAGTTAACTAACGCCGAACATGCTATGATAATTGCATTTCTTAGTCTTAATCCAATGTATATGTATATATATATATATATATATATATATATATATATATATATATATATATATATTAAAACGTCCTACCTCGGGAAACCGGGTCTCTGGACGCAAAACGAAGATTGATTGATATATATATTAAAAAATGCTTCTTTCAGTGGATGCTATCGAAATTGACGATGAAATGCTTACATGCATGAGTTCCAATGAAAGGATACTGAGGAATGCCACTGAAAAAAAAATTTTCTTAAATTCAACTTCATCCATCTGATAGACAGTTTGCATGTTTATATTTAGATATATTATCGTTTTTGTAGCTACATTTAGTGTCTGACTCCTATTTTCATCTCACTGATGCATCTAACACGACAGTTGATAATTAGAACTTGAATGGACACGCTTGCAAACAGATTGTGATTTTACTTGAGCGTTCGTTTAGAAATGCAATTTGTATGTACATGTTTTGATTGACGTTTGTATATTTTGATCCACATACAGATTTGTGCATATTTGTCTTCGTCACCCACATTTGCTAACCACATTTTTCATTCTACGTATGCACAAGAATCAAATTTTTAAATTCTTATATTTTTATTTTTCGCCGTTATTGTTTTCTCGTTGAGCGAATTCATTTTGTCACTCACTTTTATTCGAATATTGTCATTTGATTTGTCATTATAGTCTTTCAAAGAAAAAAAACAGAAGTCAGAATTTATTGAGTTTAATATATGAATGAATGTTAAGTAATCAATTCGAATTTTTGCGAATTTCAAAATTAAAATGCAGAGTACACAGTTGTGTGAATCAAATTCACGGGGGGAATTTTTCGTACTACAGAGTTTTCTCTGTTCATCAGTAAGTCGACAGATATTTCTCTTGAGATAATATGAAGGAGAAAAAAAATTTGCAAGCAGTTTATATACATGGTGGCAAAGATCATGTCAAAAATATTTATTTATGTTTTAATAGATACAAGTTAATATTACTTGCAGTTAATGATTCGTCACTGAATAGGTTTAAAGGAACTAAAATTCTATATTGTCAAAAAACCTACCAGAAAGTTAAACAACGTTTGAAACCTTGCATGACATTGTGTGAATTACATTTAATAAATATAAAAACTGAACGGGCTTGTTAGAGGCTGCAGTAGCCAGCACACATCCCATTAGCATTACCGCCCCCTTGTGATAACGAAAAGCCCCTGTGATCTGTCTCCCACAATCCTGGAGTCTGAATGATCTGGATCATCAAATGTATTGTAATCACGTTTTTATTAATATTCATTACAGAAAAATATTAGGCTAAAGAAAGCATGTCAAATGAGTTAGTTAGCATTATTAGAGCCAGAAATATAGGCGGTAGATGGTTGATGCATCATTTAGCAGGTCAACTTTAACGATTATTAGCAGGATGATCAGAGAAACCCCATCAATAATGAAGTTAATTTGATTTAAAATTAGACAGATTTAATTATAACATAATTAGTAATGAATTTAAGTTGAGTAGTCCAAGTAGCTAAAACACGTTACTTTTTCGACCAATTCCTCAAAAGCGCACTGAACTCCTTCTTTTGTTTTAGCACTAGCTTCGATGAACAGCATGTGGTGTTTACGAGCAAATGTTAGACCATCCTCTCTGCTTACTTCCCTTTTTTCCTGTATTAACGTTCACAACAACGCATTTTCACACAACTTTGTAAATTGAAAAAGATGATTTCTATATTTATAAAGTATAAAATTCAGTAAATAAAACAATTTGATAGAAATGATTAAGAAATTAATTCATCAAAATTGAATAATTTACTTTGTCAATTTTATTGCCAACCAGCATTTTGACAATTTCATGCTTAGTTGAATATGTTTCTAACTCGGTCAGCCAGTTTTCAAGTTTCAGAAATGACTGTCTGTTCGTTATGTCATAAACTGAAAATATTTCAAAATTGATTAAGGACTTCTTAATGTCAGATAGAATGATTAATTTGAAATCTATATAGTTGGAGAACACCAACCTAAAATGCACCCCTGGGCCCCTCTGTAGTAACTTGGAGTCAAAGTTCGAAACCTTTCCTGTCCTGCCGTGTCCTGATGGTGGTGAAGATGATGGTGACTATAATAATAATAATAATGATGATGATAGCATTATACTTTAAAACAGTAAGTTAAAACACAACAATTTTATTACCCATATTGCCAATTTGGCTTTATTCCCATCAACAATCAGTGTTCTAACTTTGAAATCAACACCTTGAACAACGTTTGGGAATATTTGCGAAATTAATATTTAACAGCTTAAATAAATAAAAAAAATATTTAAAAAGATAATATTAATGTCTAACAAATTGAAAATTGAGCAGTGTATTTTACTATAAATACAAGCATTGTTGTTGAAATTTGTTCCCACATATCTAAATTTATTGTTCTAAAGTTGTTTAATTAGCTCTATTAAGCAGATCAAACCTATTGTGGCTGATTGGTCTGGATCAAATGTATCTTCACAAAACCTCAGAAGCAAGCTGAATAATAAAACGAATATTTTCAAATTAAAAAAATTATTGTAAGCATTTTAAAAGATTATTAATAGGTTTATTTGTTGGTTCAACACAAACTTGTGCTGCAATTAGTATCATATTAAAAGGTATTCAGTCAGCTTTATGTAAAAAAATTATTGTAAGCATTTTAAAAGACTATTAATAGATTTATTTGTTGGTTCAACACAAACTTGTGCTGCAATTAGTATCATATTAAAAGGTATTCAGTCAGCTTTATGAAAGTAAAGAAACTAAGACTAGTAAACCAAAAGTCAATAACAAAATTAACAATTATAATAGGCATCCCTTTCAATGAAAAAAGACCTACCTGCTCTAGAGATCTGCCTAACTATTTTTTTTCTTAAATTAATTTAAACTTTTTCAGAATATTTTTAGTTGGATAGAACATAATGATCTATCTATACCTATAGACTTCCAATAAATTTAAATTAAACACAAGGCTAAATATGAATTCTACATCTAAAAATTTTTTTAAATCATTGCAATAAAATCTCTTGCATTTGAAACAAGATTGTGTATGTTACACCGTTTAGAAGCCTGAACTACATTTTCAAAACTGAATATCAACACAACCCCGCAAAAACATTTATAACCGGTACTAAGAACTTTGACAAGCATTAATCTGCCAAACATAAAAACAAATTAATCAATGAGATTAGGATTAGATTAAAAATATTAAAAATTAGAAGCTCTAGTTTTAGACTTTTAGTAGTGGGCTTATAAAAAATTTGTATGAAACTTGCTTTGTTTTGTTGTGTAACTTTTTATTTCAAATGGTAAATTTTGACACAATAAATTTAATAAGATAAATTTTTTAAAAATGACATCACTAAGTGCCGAAAGGTGACGACAAAATCAAAACAAAAAACAATGTCCCACAAATTTTTCCACAATACATCGCAATCCAAATGTTATGAAGTCATTGTTATTATTTATTATCATCTGCTGACCTGGACTTGCCAACACCACTTTCCCCGATTATCAAAATTTTCAAAGTTGTCAATATGTCACCCTCTTCCATTTTACTACTTCAAATACGATTAACAATGTGGATGTTGATAACAAAACTTTAACAAGAATGACTAATGCGACATTTCATATCTTTTTAATACGACGTTATATTCATTTTCATAACACACGAGCGATAATAAATTGATCAAAGATAAAACAACTTTTTTAAATTTTCTTAAGTCTCATAAAATGAAATCACTTACCATATGTTGTATATATACATATATATATATATATATATATATATATATATATATATATATGTATGTATATAAATATACATTTGTTGTGATATATATCTATGGTTGTATGTTGTATGTGTGTTTGTGTGCAGGGTAAAAAATTCGTAATCATTTATGGCATAAATGGAAGAAGGATCAAATCACGGATCATAAATATTTTTTCATCATAACTAGCTGACTTAATGAATGAAAAAATGATCTAAAACAGATATCTTCAATGAACCCTGTGCACTTAAATCAACTACCTGTTCATCATCGTCGTCTGGATTGATTGTCTAAGTAGCCTGAGTTCAATCTTATGTGCATTCTGTTAAGTAAAGAGGTAAGAGGACATATTGTTAGCTGTTGATAAGCAACCTACCGGCCATTGTATAGTTATACTTTAACGTGGTGTGTTTTTCCCATGAGTTTAAACACGGATCACTGTGGGTTGGTATATATATCTCTCATCTTTATATTAAATATATATTGCATGCATAGAGATTATATAGAGTATGTATAAGTTTGGCTGTCTGCTTCTTGAAATTTGTTATGTGTGTTTGTGTTTTTTATATTGATTATAATTATATAATTTATCGCTTCAGTCAACGTTTCAAAATAATAATTTAATCGTTGTAATTAGCTTTTTGTAACTACGAATTTAATAATAATACAATGATTTATATAGCGCCAGTTGCAAAGCTACTTAAGGGGCACCCTGAGCCATGTCCAGAGCCTGAATATCTTGAATAACTGAATGGTTTATAAAATTTGTTGATGAAAACTCAAGTAAATATTCACATTTTACATAAAATTTTAATATGTTTCTTTAAAAATATATCAATACTCGTATTAAAATATACTTCGTGAATAAATTAATGCAAAAATATAAATAAGTGTCAATTTATAATCAACTTTACATAAAACATAACAAAAATAAGCTGGATATCAGCAAATTGGATTTAAAAGTTCATCTAAGTTGATATATCTGATCAATATAGATGGAAATTGAATGTGACTCGAAAGATAGACAACGCGATGTTTTAATACTTCTCGAATAACTCGACGACAGATATGTTTCAAAGGTTTGGGATTGCATCGAAATTTTTTCAACCACTCAACACACGCCAGGTTGTCTTCCAACCAAGGCGTCACAGTCAAATTCGACAACCATTTGCTTACGGAGCGGTCACAATATCCACCAATAAGCAGAACCTTCGCTATTAACGAGTGTCTGCTTTCTAAGGCAGCCTCCACTGGGTCATTTGAAACATTTTGAAATTCAAAATCGTTTTTAATAATGTATGAATTAGTTTTTATAAAATAAACCACTGCATCGTAAAATCCATTTTTCGCAGAGTACCATAGAGGGCAATGTCCGGACGAATCCTTTGTGACGGAACAAACTTTGTATAAGATATCTATTGATTTTACACACCCATTAATTGCTGCCATGTGCAATGGATTTTTATTTTGATTATTCAATAAGTTTACATTTGCGCCGGCCATTAATAGTTCTTCCAGAACCTGAAAATTGCCTTTTGAAGCAGCTAAATGTAGAGCTGTATTGCCTTCAATGTCTTTTAAGTTTACGTCAGCGCCACTGTTGATCAATGAATTCAAATTTATACTTCGAGAACATGCGTAGTGGAGTGCCGTTTTAAAATCATTACTTATTGCATTGACGTCCGAACCGGCGTTCAGTAGGACTTTCACTATCTTATCAACATCTGGCGCATGGATGCAGGCAAGCATTAATGGAGTTCGGTTTGAAGCGTCTCTGGCGTGTGGCGTGGCGCCATATTTCAATAAAATGTTGACACATTTTTCATAGCCCCAGTTCGACGCTCGATGCAGAGCCGTGCCTCTACCTCCTCCCGATTTCGCTTCAATATTCGCTCCTTTGGCAATTAGCATTTCTACCATCTGATCATTTCCTAGTTCGCAACTCATCGCTAGGGGCGTGTTCTCATAAGAATCTACAACGTTTGGATTGGCTCCAGCTTCAAGCAGATGTTCGAAACATTCTTGGTATCCTATTTTTGACGAATACAGTAAACCTACATCTAAATCTTTTTGTCTGATACATACATTGAACTTCAATATAATTCTTAACATTCTATGATTGTTTCTCCTGACCATTTCGAAGACACTGCAAATAAAAAGAAACTAACATTTATCATGTGCTATATGTAGAGACGTGTGTAAGCAGCAACTATAAATAATTTATGAGATAAAAGTTGTTTAAAAATTGCATACTTAGTCAGTTTCAATCCAAAATTATTTGTTTCTTTTTCAACTAACGACTGCAATAAAAACATTAAAAATTAACATTTGATTATTTTCCTCATTGGTTTAAATTTGGGCAGTAATATTACATTAATAATTAACGGCAATGCATTTGTTACAGCAAACTGTTTGCTACCAACCATGATTCCAACAGCCCAGGCGGCTGCAAATGCCACTGAAGAAGCGGCTGCCATAACAACTGCTGTGGCTACTTCTGTTCCCATTTTTGGAGCGGTAAAAATGAAAATAGCTGATATGTAGGATGCCGTTGAGGTGCTTGCAATAAGGAAAGATACAAAGACGCGTCCTTTTATTTTGGATGCTGGCAAGATGAATGCAGCCGTGGATACGGCAACAATTATCGAACATGTTATTGTTAGACCTGAAGTTGGTAAATAAAAAACTAATTATAAATAAGCAAATACACAAATTTGTGTTTGATATTTTGTTATGTGTAACAAATTTTCAAAAAAAAAAAAAAAAACAAAGAAAACTTGCTGAGAAGGAAAAACAAATATTTAAAAAAATAATACATGTAAAAAATGCGAAATTGCAACATGTCGAGTAACTAAAATTTTCAAAATAGTCTGATAAGCAACCATTTTCTAAATAATTCATGCGAATTTGTATGAAATCAGAGTTTTGTCCAATCCGTAAATAGTTTGAATTTTAATTTACGTTAACTAAAATTTTAATGCAAAAATATACACAAGTCTAGTAGGACTAGAACATAAAGTTAACAAAAGATCCAACAAAATTTTAAATACATGTCATTTTTTGTTTTTCTTTCTTTTACCATCGCTTTGTGAAACAATGTTTCAAAGAATAAACATCTTATATTCTTTTAATCAAAATGCTGTTTCAATTATTTATTTATATAAATAAACAGGGTGTCGGAGTCGGTTAAAAAATTTTCAAAATTTGACTTTAATTTATCTGCATGAAGTTTAAATTCCATTTTGATTTGTATTTCTCATTTCATTGATTGAATATTTTCAAAATACTTTTTGCACAATTTGCTCAATTTATTGTCCCGTGTGTTGTACTTTAACAAAATGAATTTCCTAGAAATTTTTTGCTTATTTACGATTCTTTTAGAAAAACATTTCAAAATTTTCAAAAATGTCCACTAACCCGATGTTATGGCTGCTACGATGGCTGTAATTACCTCCGTAATGAAGTGGATGATGGCAATGATGAAAGCAAACGTCGACCTCAAAAGAGATACGATGAATATGGAAGTGAAGGCGATGCTCAAGACCAATGCTACCGCCAAAACCGACGAGGCAGTGATCACCATGATCAATTTGATGTGCTCGTTCTTCATATTCATTTGTTGTTATTCACGCGTAAAATAATTACTTTCAACTGGCATTTTACCGTTGCAATGAAAAGGACTTTTTGTTCAGATCTACCTACAAATTTGATCGCGTCAGGTGTGTGTTTAGAGAATGATTTAAACGTCTCAAGTGATTCAGAGCGAAAGAGCATCGTCTATCAAAATAAACATCGCTACCGTCTCGTTTCTATGTTTATTATACTATAGAATTACAATTTATTTATGGACTGGTATGTATTCTCAAACTATTTGAAAATAGTTTGTGACGCTATGGTTTTAAGGCAACAAACCAAATGAAGACTTGAGAAAGTGAAAATTTAATTTGAATTTTCAGGTCGAAATGTTTCAAGTCGCACAAGTAATTGCCAAAACCGTTGAATGCTTGCTTTATATTTAACGCACTTCTTAAAATAAACTTTGTGCGAAGTTTCCTATAGAAACAAAAATTATCACAAGTTCAGTTTTCGAAATTTGACAACAATTGTAAATATATAAAATTGAATTTCTATCAATAAAATACCTTTAACATGTTTTTAATCAGAAAATATAACACAAATGTTAAAAGCCGTATGGGCCTAATAACCAACCTTTCTACTATATTAGAGCGCAAATATGAAATCTTGATTAGATGAATAAGCGTGCAAGAACGAAGGCTGTATATTATATATATATATATATATATATAATATTATTTTTTAATGTATTACGTTCTCGTCAGATAGATGCGCTTGTAATTTCGTCCCATTATTATTCCTCCTATTTGCAAGACTACTTCATTAGCAATTTTTTCGATTTAAAATAAATTCAATTCACTAGCTAAACTCTTATGCAATTGGTTTTTAAATAATAACGCAAACAGGAAATTAAAAACGTGTGGGAATGGAAGCTGTTTTCGAAAGAAATTTGCTGTCTGTTATGTAGGTGTTCTTATTGTGTGTAAGAATGTTATGCATGTGCAGTTGTGCATGGCGTGTATGTATACAGATTGTATTCTTTATGTATGATATGCAGTAGGTATATGTATGCGTGCATGTATGAATTTACAATTTGAAAATATATTTTGATATAAATATATGTGCGTGCGTGCGTGCGTGTGTGGTGTGTGTGTGTGTTATATGTCTGTATATATTGCGTTTTGTATAATTAAAAATCTATATTAATGTTATTTGTAATGTAACTTAGAAAGGACGGTTGACTATGGATTTTTTTAACTTTTAAGCATGTATTATTTGGAAATTATTGCAAGAAAATGATGCAACAACATCGTAAAGCATCACCTGCATTGCATTTATTAATATTAGGAGAATATATGTCAACATTAAAACATTATCAAAATTATCCATTCCGGCAGGATAGGAAAGTTGTTGGGTAGGTGCTCTTGGAAACAAATTTATGGCACAATATTTTCTATGCTATGCTATGTTATCGGTTTTTTTATTTTGTAGGCGATATTTGATTTGTTTGCCGTTTTTCGTCCGGGCTCCCGGTTGCTGCTCTTATGATGCTAAAAAGAGTTTATCGTCTTAGTTCGTTCACCCAATTGAATAATTTAAGACTTTCTGCAAAACGTTTGCTGAAATGTCATTCTCGAAATATAAGTTATAAAACTTCCTCTATTTATGAAACCACGAATTTTGATGATTATTTTGAAGATTTGGATAATTTGAAAAATTCAATTTCCAAAAGAAACATCAATCTTGATATCTCTGAATTAGTAGGCATTATAATATTATTTTTATTTTAATATGAATTAGTATAGGTGTAGACCTGTACGGGTGAATGTTTTTTTAACTTGAGTTTTTCCATTCATGATTTGTGTTATGATGATCAGCATGCCATTTTTAGTCAATTAATTAAATTAAAAATTAAATGATTTAAATTGATAATTTTGGCAGATATATTTTTATTTAATTTGGGAATTAAATCTTTATTTTCATGCAGACACAATATTATGAAATGATTAAAAAACTATCAATAGAAAAAAATATGTTAGAAGTTCAAAAAGAAAAAAATGCATCCAAAATGAAAGATTTAGTAAAAAACTTTGTTAGTAAATGGTAAATTTTATAAATAAAATAATTCAACTTAATTTAATTTATATTAGTAAAAAATACAGAATAATAATATGTATAAATTTATTAAATTGACTATCAATATTTTAAAGGATAAGTTGCACAATGTAGATGATCTCAAAAAGGAAGGAAGACTTATTAGAAATAAACTCAGACAAATAATGGTGAGTTGTAAAGGCAAAACTTTTATAACAGAAATATAAATTTATTTATTTTCAGTAATTCTTATGTTTTACATTTAAATAAAATTGATGTGAATGTTTAATTTTGACTTTTGTTTGTTAGAATATAAATGTGAATTAATATTTTTTCAATATTAATTGTTTTTATAAATTGGATTTTATTGTATTCTTATGTCTAATCTGTAATTTACAGTTTATTAAAAAGTTGGTTAAATATCCTTGATCTCCTTTAAGTTTACTATATAATTCTTTTTTGAAATGCTGGATGATGAACATGGTTTGAAAGATATGAAAAACAAAATACTACCTCTACTGAAGAGATTACCATCTAGACTACACTCCAATACAGTAATGAATTTTTAAACCTATTTTTTTCTTTTTTAAAAATTGTTTTGTAATAACATGTTATTTACTGAATGTTTGTATAAATTTTAAAGCCTGCAAAAGACAAAGTGGAATTTGAATCTGGAATATCTGGTTAGTGTTTCACATTGATTACATACAATTGATGTCTTTTTCATTCATTTTCAATTGTCTTGAATGGATGGTCCTAGGGTCTCTGGTGTATGATTATCAACAAATTTGTATTGGAATCATAAACAACTTATGCCTATTTCTCAGTTTACAATGCATTACTCCGCTTTTCAAAATTTTCAATTTATATGCTTCCCATAATATTATTCTTTAATTTAAAATTTTGTAATAAAAATGATTATAGTCATTCACTTCTCTTTTGTGCATAAAAAATTAATGTCTTCATAATTCAAACAGTTAAAGTTTGAAAATTGATTTGATTAGAAAATGATTTGACAAGTAAAGTACAGAATCACGTGGAGCTCTGTGGTGCATACTTGCAACTCAGGTTTGTCAAATTTTGTGATCATACAATGCAAGTTATTTTTTCATCATTATTTATTTATCATTCAGTTGGAGATATGTTTTTTACCTATTCTATTAAAAAATATTTAAAACTATTGCTTGTTGTGCCGGCCATCATAGAGCCCATAAGATGGCAAGTAGCCAGAATGTATTACAAGTGGCATACATGACTGGCAATTTGGCCCTTCTTGAGTATCAACTGTACTTCAAACTCCACAATGAACTAGAAAATTTGAATAATTTCAAACAAGTCACATGTGCTGATATGGTCAAGGAGTTTGTGGTGGTTAGAATAATTCGTCTAAACAATTTCATTAATTTAATATGATAATTTTAATATGATAGAATAGCAGTAAACAATACTAAATAGTTAACAAATTTATATCTATGCTAACTTCAGGAATGCTGTACTGAAAGGGCAAGTGACAAGGTATGTTAATATTAATCTTTGTTTCTGTCATCCATTAAACATTACCAAAAATTAAACAAATGTCGATTAGTACTGCTGATTGCAATTGATGAAAAGCTATTACATTCTACATTGAATATTCACATCAAAACATACCTTCGTGCAACTTGACAGGGCATCAAAATAATGAATCCTCCAAATGATTTGAGCGTTATAAGGGACCAACCCCAGGTTATTCCCTCAGACCTGTTCCTCGTTGGCACTTCATTTGCAAGTTTTATAGGTTTGTGCTTGTTTATATGCTGCATAATAATTTAATTTTATTTACCAACAGAAATTTTGCTGGTAACTACAATATTTCAATATTTGCCTATTTTTATGTTTGAATTCAGGTTTTTTCTCATCTCTAGAATACAAGGCATCATCACTCCCTCTGAACTTTTATACACTTGGAAGGCATTATAAATCCAGTTGGTTTGGTAGATCCATCTTTGTAATAACTTATTAATCTTATGAATTTGCAGACTAATTCATTACAAAAATCATAAGGCACTTATATTTAATAAAATCTATCAACTTTTAAATCTTATTTATATTTTAAATGCTTTATCGTTTTTGTGTATATGTAAGTATCTCCTTAATAACCAAATGTAGGTAGTGGTGGCATATATGGCTTATACGATTTGTCCCAAAGAACGCAGGTATGCTGTGTTTGTTTTATAAAAATTTTTGCATTTGATTAACGTTGCTTATTATTTTGTAATGGCAAATTTAGTAATCTCACGGTGGATGTTTTATATTTTTGTTCGGCTTATATTTTTTCATCAAAAATTTGTTGTTGGACTAAAACTTTTTTTGTAACAACAATAATTAAAAGAGTTTATAATGAGAGGTACCGAACACAGGTTCACCACATTCGCTACTCGTCCAGCGTCTGTTTATCTAGCATCTAAATGTGGGACTATGCTCAAACCTTTTTATTATTATTTCCCCAGGCTGAATTATATTCCGTTTCTAACGAGAGTTCTGACCAATTATTTGAGAATCATAAATCTTACATGGTGTTATTTTATGAAACACTTGGTCTTTCATACAAGTAACTTTTTTCTGGATTTGACTGTTTTTCATTAATTCTTTAAAAATAACTACATTACAACTGCAACTCCAGAATTGTTGATGTTGGAGCTCGTAACTTGTTGAGTTACCAGTCAAGAAGGTGCGATTTCTACATATGGTCCTCTGGTTTCAAGAAATATTTTAAAGTAGTCAAAAAATTATTTTCATTATTGCATTCATCATTTGTTGTGTATAACATCGATCGTTTTAATGCATTGTTCAATTTGTATATAGAGTACAGTTAAATTTACGCATGTTAGGATCTAGGAATTCCCTCAGTTATATTACAAAGCACATCAACCTGCAAGTTGGTTATTAGAACCTGTATATGTATTTCGTATGCCTGTTTTCCGTATCATGCAATTTGTTCACTTTTGATGACAAAATTATTTTTCTATTAACTTTAATAAATTATTACGTTAGGAAGCTCGAAATGTTGGAATTGCCTTTAAAAATAATTTGTTCTATCCAGAGGCGTCATTTGGGGGGAGGCAGGGGGGGCAATTGCCCCCCCCCCAAGAAAAATTATAAAATATTAAAATTATAAATTCTAAAAGTGTTAATTTTAAATTCTTTGTAAAAAGGATATATATAGGATATATAATTTAGTAATTTTAAAACTTTAAAAATTTTGAAATTTTAAAAACTTTAAAAATGTAAAATTTATTATAATGTTGCACTGACAAGACTAGGTGGTCGAAATAGTACTATATGCATACATGTAGACAATGACATCTTCTGTAAATAGGAATTTTGTTAATAGCATTAACAAGTTAAGCTTGGTAGATTGGAGAATTATTCGAAGAATCGAGAAACTATCATATAGATTGAGTACTGTAAGAAACGCCGTGATCTTTATTAATATATATATATATATATATATATATATATGTTACATGCTAAGTCATAGACCACATAAGTTCGCCCCCCCAACCAAAATCTGAAATGACGCCCCTGGTTCTATCAAAAATTAAATTTTATTTACCGAAATAAAATGCTTGGACAGTGTGGCCACATTGAAAATTTTGATGATCACATAAGCAGAAGATTGTCATTGAAGTGTCAACACACAGGCCGATTTATTTACATGGTTAGTCGATAGTATTCTCAGTCACTGAATGAATAACGTTCATGCATTGCAATATTCAGCAAATGTTGATTTGGTTTTTCTTATACAGACACATAGTACAATCTTTAGGTTGCAGACGTTAACGGCTGCTCTCATAGAACATGCACAAATCTCGGTATTTTTATTTTATTTAAAACTAAACGAGTAACAAACTTTGTATTTGAAATCAAGAGAAATTATCATGACAGATAAATATAATAATAGGCTTCATTGTATATTTTCAAAGGACAACTTTACAGAACTTCTGTCTGAATTAAAACTGGATACAAGACAAAAACAAACAAGCAAATAAATCGCAGGACGTAATCTGAACATGTTCTCTATTATTCAAACCCCCTGTAAAATGAAATATTGTTTTGTGTAATTTTTTAACGTAATTTTTAAATATTTAGCATATTGAAAAAACATCTTGTGGACATCAAATATTTTACCACAATATAATATAACTTTTGAAAGGATATTTACATGTATATGTATGTATGTATAGGTCATTCAAATACATTTTCTTGGTATAAAATGGTATTTCAACATAATAAATATATTTGTTTCTACTATTTTTGTGTTTTTATCACTAGAGGAATATTTAAAATATTGAAAAGAAGTTGGTATACTGAATTAGCTTTATAAAAAAATACTGACTGGACCAGGGAAGCAATCTCCCAGTTGGTGTTGGAAGAGATGGGACCCTCAATAACCGATTTTCTGTCTTTAGTTACAATGGCTATTTCATACTTTATAAACAATTTAATTTTGCAATTAATATCATGGCACTTTTTTTTTTTTATAAAAAGCTAACCCTGTTCCAGGCCCTAGCATCCCTATAAAACAGAACTTTCATGCAGTAGTCAATGACCAGTTTAGCATCCTGCTCACTCATGTTTGGCTTGACCTCCAATGCACTTCTCAGTAGAGGCTGTTGAGATGTAGATCATAGAAGTCAATTAATCAAGGTATAAGAACAATAAATTAAAAGTCAAACCGTCGCATTAGCAAAAGAAATTGTCATTATAGCAACACTATTATTGTTCAATTTATTTCTTCAAATCTGACTATTGCCCAACTTTAATTTTAATTTCAGTTAAATTGACTGGCCAGATTAAATTTTCTTCATTTTTCTTAGCTGATCAACTTTGAGGTCATTTACCTGCTATAGTTCAACCTGATTCTTTTTTGTTGACAGGGACAATTTTAATCTGCTCTAGCACAGCATGTTTAACATTTGAACTCTAAACTCTTCTTTATAAATTTGTTGCTAATCCCGGTCTCCAAGGATATTTTTTAAGCTTTATTCAATTTTTGAAACTGTCTACCCTTAGCTTTAATGATATATTTAACTTTAAATGATGCCGTGACTGCATATGTAAAGTTCACTGATGTGAGAAAAGACATTATCCATTATTGTAAATTAGAAAACACTGATGATGTTTCAGTGAAGTTCAAGCCTGCATCCAAGTTGCATAGATGAACTGAACATACATACCTGAGCTATGTGAGCACCATATCCAGTAGCCACCGAAGGAGCCTCATAAGCTGTTCCTATTTTGTCAACATAACCCACAAATCTGAAAATAATTGCAACTTTTTTTAATTCAGGTAATGTTATGGGCACAGAAAAAAAACTGTTACAGAAGTAGTTTACTATTTTTTTAGATAATGATTATGTTTAAGCAAAAAGTACAACATATATTAACAATTACAACTAATAATAACTAATAATTGTTATTATCTTACGGTTTTCCATCCTGCATCCCTCCAACAACCAATGTGTTCCACAATGGATTAAACTTTGACCTTCTGTTGTACATGACTCTTGTCAGCCAATTGTACAAAGCTTTTGGAGTGTATGAATATCCATCAGCAAGACATTTGTCATCAATCCTTTAAAAAATCGTTCATACATGATTTTACAGATAAAAACAAGCAGAGTAAAAAGAATTAAAAGTAAATAAAAAATGAATAATGAAGGCTAACACTTTTTGTTCAATGACAGATTTTATGAATTGGAAGTCTGCATAATCGCCGCCAGCTCCCATAACTGTTGTATCATTAACTTTGTACAATCTAGAAACGGTTCTGTAACGGGCCATTGAGCCATAGGAACCTAATGTGTCGGCCGCAATGATGACACCTCCATCAAATTTCAAACCCAAAACTGATGTACCAGTAACTGATGGATAGCTAAAAATTTCATATGTTTTATTTATAATATTTTTCTTAAAACTAGGAAACTAAAATATAATTTAAGCAATAACTCAATGTATTTATGGACAAGATATACATATGAAGACTTCATTACATTCAAATTTATTAATAGCTGATGTGAAATTTGATGTTGATTAACATTTATAATTTTAAAAAAATTGGAAAGAAATTATGTAGAAAACAAGAAAAGTTAGTATTTTTAAAATGGAACACTATTGTTCATGAGTTGTATTAAGTGCAGATACCACAAACAAAAAATGCAGCAAAATAGAAAAGATATTGATATGAAAACTAGGCTAGGATGATTCAACAGTGAGAGTGATGGGTTAAATGTTAAACAATTATGATTTTGTTAGCTTCTTATATATAACAATGTTTTTCTGTAAATTTATATAACTTCGCTTATAAGATTATTTTGAAAATTCCTTAACAATTAATTAACCATTGTTGAACCATACATATGAACATGCAAGCACACATGCACAGGCAAGTAAATAATAACAGGAAATTGTGTGACAATCAATTGTTAACTACAGCAGTGGGTGCCTTGTTATTTTTATTAACAGAGTTCAATATTGAATATTGTATTATATAATCATAATGAAATGAATTGATTACTATACAGAATTTGTTAGAAAAATAACTTTTTTCTAACAATCATGACTTAAAATTTAAATTAAATAAACTTTTGTGAGGTTAATTAAAAATTCGAATTTATAAATTTTAATTGATTTAATTAATTGAATAACTTTATTTAATTCCAAATTTGATTTTCTTGTTTATTTATTTAGAAATAAAAAATTAAAGATTAAAAAACGATCTGATTTCAAATTTGACTTGTCTGATCTGAAGTCAATAACTGAATAACCCAGACCATAACAAACACTATTAACCATTAACCAAACCACAATTTATAATAAATATAAATATCATTTCAAACTTAAAATTATTTTTTATTTCAAAAAATTTAATTTAAAATACTTTTTATTTTTCTGAAATAGTCTATTTCAAAAGACTAGTCTTTTGCTTTTCACAAGCCAGTTTTTCTAGTTTTTTTAAATAAATTTTGCTAGTACTTGTTGGGACTTACAGTGTGTGTTTAACTGGATCCTTCGGAAGATTTTGATCGAACGACAAATCGTAAAACTGGCCAGGTCTTGGCCCATTCTTCCAGAAACTATCATCAAAAATATTTTGCAAATTCATTTTGTTTTTGATCGCGTTTGTTTATTATCAACCAGAACATAGAACAATAACTTTTATGTTATAGCCAAAGATACATAAATGTAAACCAAAAATGAATGAACATGATGAACCACTTTTAAAAATAGTTGAACTGAACAACACAAATATTAACGGTGGCACCTTAGTAACGTGCTGAAACCGATGCATATCCTTATGTATTCTAAGTATATGGCTGAAACACAATCAAACAATAAATCAGTCAATTCTACTAGTCACACATATATTCCATATTGTATTTATAAATGTTGGGCAGCAACTAGCATACACATATTACAAAAGCTAAGTAGCCGTCGAGGAATGTTCGAAAGAAAGTCTTTTCTTCGTTAAATTAGGATCTTTTCTGTTAGCATATGCGTAGTTGACGTTATTGATAATTAGTAGACAGAACTTGGGTTTTCTCAAATGTTAAAAACTTATTCCTTTCATGCAAGCATGTACATTTGTGCAACCAGCATGGAAGTTCAGATAGTTTTATCAATCCCTGCACTAAAATATGCAGGTATATAAATAACATTTTTAACAGAAAAAAACGTCAGACTAACATTAATCATATCACGCACCTGACGAACGATGGTATAACAGAACACCATCCAAAATCATATCGCAGAATTTCATGTACACGAAAATATTTTTTGCGGGGTACTTAGCAGATCAACAAAAAATCTGAATGAGTAGATTGTCAGAGTCGATACTGAAATTGAAGGAAGAACTAACCTTGAAGTAGCTGGAAAGACTAACTTCTAAGCAATTAAATAACACGATGCGTCAACTCAATAGTCTCGCATTCAATTAACTTTGGTCAAACTGAAGAGCCAAATTTAGTATAAAAATTCGAATCGCCTCAAGTCTGTCATAAGCTTGCCTATTGGTTGGTATTCACAAGGACAGTGGAAAGAAATTGAGACACAACGTCGTAATCAGCTTCGACCAGTTATAAGAATTCGGTATCATAACAACATATAAGATATCGAATTCAATTTAAAATCTGTGAGAAACTTGCGAAAGCCGTAGCAAGTAGAAAAGATCGTCAAACATTGAATCGCGCATGCCATTCAATCCGTCTAACTATAATAAAATAGCTTCAACAGTAAATAAAATATTTTCCAACATCCTAAAATTGCATAATCATGCTATAAATTTAAAAAATAATAAAATGTATATATAATAAATTAACAACGCTTCAAATCTGTATAATTAAAACTAGGGTTCCATTTTCATTAATTTTTTGATAGCCAGATTCAAATGATCTATTTCTTGGTTAATTTCCCCTATCTGAAAAATCAAAATGGTTTAAAAAGTTATGGAATAGAAAAAAGATGAATCGTACGTTGTAAAATTAAAAACAAATGTAAAAAAATGACATATAAATGGGTGTTGGGATAACCAGAAACCTGAAATATTAAAACGTGGGTGACTTTCTTCCTGCTCAATCTATATTTTATATATCAATAAAAATCAAGCGAGAAAGTCGCAACCCATAATTACCACTCGGCTAAACCTTTAAAAATTAGTTGAATTTAGAAGATTAAATTCACACGCAGAAGTTGCAAAACATAAACGTAATTTTATCTTCCCAAACCTTTTCAGTGTTTTGTTGTCTTACATGCTCTGGAACCTTGGACCCGTAATCAGGCTTTTGAGTAAGTTTGAGAAAGCTATTCAACTGAACCTCTAACTTGCCTTTCTTATCCTTCAACTTTTCTGCCTCTTTCGTGAAATCTATCAATCCCTAATTCGAGTGTGAAAAAATAAATATTTACTCACAAAATACATAATAACACAAATAACTTAAAAAACAAAATTTATAAGTGATAAGAATGAAACATCAAAATTGCCAAAATCAGCATTCTCAATCTTTTATTCAATTCATTTAATTCAACTTTCTATGACCTTTAGCATAAAATTACCTGCATAAACACATTACACACATTCTCAATCGCTATTACCCACCGTTTTTATTCAATAAATTATTTTAAAATAGTAAAGAATGATGAAAACCTTGAGCATCATGTGGACTTCACACTTGGTTGAGACAGTTTGAATGGCACAGCCTTGTGGAGGTTGGTCTGCAGAGGATTTCGTAAGGACCATGACGAAATTTGATGACGTCAACGTTTTCACGAGGTCTTTATATTTGCTGAGAATTATCTCCGAGTCTTTATCTAAGCATCGAACATACACTGGTGGCGACAATTTAATTTAAGGTTTAAAACTTTTGTGGCCATTTTCATTAACAATATTCTTTCATGGAAAATTAATAATTTATTGAGCGAAAACAAAAAAAAACACGAAATAAAACAATAGTAATAAAAGCATACAATCAGTTTTTTGTTTGGTCAGTTGATAATCCGCCCTCATGAATCGAACTGTCTTGATGGTCATCATCACAAAGTCAATCTCCTTCTCCAAGCTGACATCTTTCCAGGTAAACTTGATGGGAAAATATATGGAAGAAGATGAAAAATAATTCTATCGTAAATGAATGAAATACCAAACAACTTAATAAACAAAATTATTTTCTCTTTAAAATTTGGATGTGTGCGTATATATTAAACACAATGCAAGCTTCAATTGTAAAGTTACGTAGACCAACTAACCTGTTCTGTCTTCGGATATGGCGAGACGACAAGACTCGGAGGTCTGTCTGCAGTCCTGGCTGGCAATCTTTGATACAATTCCTCACTGATAAATGGCATGAAAGGATGGATGAGACGCAGGGCTGTCTCCAAACAGCTGTACAAAATCTGCAGTTGTTTCAATAAGTTGAACCTATGTAGGAATCATGATGCTACTGCATACATTTTAACAGCAGCATGTACGTAGTCTAATATTTTCATTATATATTTTGCAACTTATATACATATTTAAACAGTGCAATAATTAAACGCGTGTTTTCACTAAGTACCTCTCTTGTGGTTGTTTTGCTCTCCTCGTCATTTCCATACAAAATGGGCTTTGAATGTTCCTGTTCGAAAATAAACAAACTACTACATTCATTACTTTCCATAATAGACATTGTTAATGTGGCTACATTAGTTACTGCATCTAGTGAAACATTTTTATCAATTTGAGATCGTTGTTGATCTTAAAAATAATTTAAGACAATTTTAGCTCGAAATTATGATTGAAATAAATGTTCTGGAAGTTAAAAACAACAAATGCAGCTCATCTATACTGGCGCAATGTTTACAGTTACATTTAAGAGAATATTTAAATGATTGTGAAAAAATTATAAAAGAGAAGCAAGAACGACCAAGTAGATGTCGCAAAGTTCGTAGAGCCAGAAGTTGTAGCAAGCAGTCGTGGCCACTGGGAAGTCGTACGTCAAGAAGGCTCTGTTGCAACTTTCAACTGTGTCACACAGCCGACTGACTATCCAGAGATCCATGGATGACTCCTTGCCTGTCAACTGTTGATGACGTAGCAAAATGAAACATTAACACCGAATATGTTTAAATCAACAGAAAATATACATAAAGAAGAAAATTAAAAATTAATTATATAAATAATATTTACAGGAACTACATCACATGTAACATACAACAAATTAAAAAAATCATAACAAATATGAATAAGATTGCTTAAAAATATCACAAAATCCTAACAGCATATGACTGCATAAAAATATCAGCCCTACCTTGAACTCTGACAGTGGCTTGAAGCTGTCAGTGAGATTGGTCAGCACGAACTTGGTGGCGTTCCACAGTTTGTTGCAAAAAAATCTGTAACCTTGCACTCTCAAGACGTCGAGGTTAATGTCACGACCTGAAGTGGATGCAGTGCTCAGGTTATGGCTTATAATTGATATCATATCTTTAGTTATAACCATTGTATTTTATATTGTCACCTAAATAACTAATGCTTTATAACTTCTAAAGCAACATTTCAATAACACAACTGCCCTTTAAAAAAAAACTATCACCGGCATCACAAAGCACAACCCAACCTTGAGATGTGTAGGCACACAGACCGAACCTCAGTGCGTCAGTCCCACACTCTGGTATGCCTTGAGGGAATTGTGCTTTCTACCCACCAAATGAAATTATATTCAACAAGAGGTTGAATGATATAATGATGGAATCGAATGTTAGAAACAAAAATATTTTACATCCGTTAAATGGTTTACTGAATTACCTTAGCAATAATGTACCGAGACTTTAAATTAATTTTTAAATTTTAATTAGATCAAATTTTAATGGAATATTAACTGTGAACAGAACGGAATAAGGAAACAACCAAAAACAACAACAATAATTAAAACAAAAATAGCAAAAACATCAACAACAGATAGCAAAATACAGTAACAAATAACAAACAACAACAACGACAAACAGTAACCTGTCCTTCTTTAGCAACTTCAATTTCCTTGGGATCCAAGTTGCCGTCATACAACTGCTTGTGAAGATCCTTCGTGAACATAAAAATAGTTGAAATTTTTTATTTCAATATGATAAAGTATTTATTACATCTATTAATTTCACAAATTACCTGTAGAAAATCAATGATTCCTTTCACTAAATTATTCATTTTATAAAAAAAAAATATTAAAAAGTGACGTATTAAATAAATCACAAAATGATAATTTTGATCAGAAAAAGTTACAAATTATTTAAAATAGAGACAAAATGTTTGAACTTCAAGTTGGATTCCTCTGATGACATCCAGTGGGTCAATGACGTTCCCAAGTGACTTGCTCATCTTGCGACCGTACTTGTCTCGTATCATTGCATGCAGATATACCTGTATTAATTGAATAAATAAATAGATAGATAGATAAATTAACTAATTAATTGAAGCATAACAATTGACGCACCCCTCAACTTCTAAAATCATTCAAAGACATCTAAAAAAATTTATTAATGAAAAAATCAAAAAACGTGAATCTCTCTATAAAAAAATATCCAGTTAATACCTCTTTGAATGGTAATTTGCCAAGCAACTGCAGACCCAGCATGACCATGCGGGCCACCCAGAAGAACAGGATATCATGGCCCGTCTCCAACAGACTGCCAGGGTAGAAAAAGTCCAGATCCTCCGACTGCAAATGGTTACAAAATTTTAGGATTATCAATAACGTTTAATAACTATCCATCGTCAACTTTGGTGTCATTTTTGTTAGAAAGTGCCCAAATTTTAGATGAAGTGTATTAATTATTGCAATAGCATAAAAACAAACTTCAGGCCAATCCCAGATTCTTATGAGCTCTGCTAAATTGTAACCAGCCACCTCAACTAACAGTAGAGGTTAGCTTTTAATGGCTGTTACATTTCTTGCTATATATTTATTATATTTCTCGTGAGCTACAAATATTTGTGAAGCAACCATTACTAATTTGGAGTTAGAGAAAATGTTTCAATAGCCAATTCAAATAAGAGCTCTGATTCTCCAGAAACACGTCGAACGTTAATAGGTCGTTCAGATGTTAATAAACAGGTGAAACGAAGAAATAAACTGACCGGATCAGGCCATCCGAGAACGGAGAATGGAAAGAGACCGGCCGAGAACCAGGTGTCTAAAACATCTTCATCCTGCCTCAGTGTTATTTTATCCTCATCCACCTGTTTGCAGTTTTATATGCATGAATATTCACAGGTGCCAGAGTATACAAATAATAATGATGGCAGCTAACACAAGGTTGAATGCTTTCTACACTTCAAAAAACATTGCTATCAAGATGTGTTAGGCTCATTCAAGAAGGCAGTATTAAAATGAATAACAGGAAACAAATAGGTTCAAGAAAAAAAATTAATAAAAAAAAAATGAAGAGCATCAAATACGACAAAAGATACAAACTTTGAACCTCCTGGCAGCCTTCTTCCTTGCCTCTTCCTCAGATGATGCACTCACCCAGAACCTGTTGTCCTCTTCCTGAAATGATCGGATCGAAGTTTATTGGGGAGGCAGGTTATTGGGCAAACAAAAGCAACAACAACCATTAACAACAATAACAACCATTAACAGCAACAACAACATTCAACAGCAACAACATTCAACAGCAACAACATTCAACAGCAGCAACATTCAACAGCAACAACTTTCAACAGCAACAACTTTCAACAGCAGCAACATTCAACAACAGCAACATTCAACAGCAACAACATTCAACAGCAACAACATTCAACAGCAGCAACATTCAACACCAACAACATTCAACAGCAACAACATTCAACAGCAGCAACATTCAACACCAACAACTTTCAACAACAGCAACATTCAACAGCAACAACATTCAACAACAGTAACATTCAACAACAGCAACAACATTCAACAGCAGCAACATTCAACAGTAGCTCACAGTTCCAGGAAGAATGTATGGATCGTCGATGGTTACAAAGTAGGCGGGCACCTGATGCCCCCACCACAACTGACGAGATATACACCAATCTCTATGGATGAGTGAGTGAGTAAGTGAATGAGTGAGTAAATGAGTGAAATAATGATCAGTGAGTATATGCTGTAATAGTGATAATAATAGCCATGAAAATAATGAAAATGATGACAATGTGATTGAAATCCAAAAGAAGTAGAAGGAATACAAATCATTAAATGGACTAAAAAACAGAAATAGAAGTTCAAGGAAGGCAGTGAGAGAACAACCGACCTGCATTTTTCAAGCCACTGGTACCAGGTCTTCTCAAATGCGTCGGGAATGATCTTCAGGTCACCATTCCTGACCGCCTGTCAACACAGATCAGAGCATAATTTAACATTTAATCACACGAGTTATTTTATTACCAACATAACTGTAATCAACTTCCTTCTTTCAAAATACTTTTGCATTTCATTCAAAAATTTTTGAAAAAAATTAACCATAAAAAATGTTTAATAGTTAAAACTGTAAACACTCATCTAACATCAACTGCCTTCTGTGCCATATCACTGCAGTTAACGAACCACTGTAACTTCAACAACGGCTCAATGATATCTTTTGATCGACTGCATGTGTGTGTGTGTGTGTGTGTGTGTGTGTGTGTGAGTTAGGTTAGACGTATGGTCAGTTTGTTGACATTTCATCTATGTGAAAAATAGCACCACTTCTTTATTAGTACTCAGAACTTTTAATGTAAAATCAAGACAAACAAATCTGTATACAATACAACTTCACGAAAGCAACATGTTCAAATATATGTAGCTGCTAAGTTAACCTGCAGACAGGCACGACCATGGGATTGTTTTGGCACGCTCTGAATAAGCCCTTGTCTTTGAGAGCTTGCAAAACTTTCTTCCTGGCGTGGAATCTCTTCATACCCTGCAAAGTTGTTTGATCAATTTGTAAAAGTGATTTGTAAAAGTAAGTCTAATGTTTTTAACAATCGAATTTTCAACGACATAAAATGCATACTTAAATGCCGTTAAAACTTTTTAAGTCACGCCCTCGAACGATCAAACTTATAACACCGAAATCAACACCAACAAAAAAATCAAGCTTGCATCGAACCATCAGGTAAGTCTACTAAGATACATCCAACAAAGAGTT